ACTTTTTCTCCCCCGTTATTTCCGTACTTTTTGATTGACGTTGTGTACGCTAGTTGCCTAATATGTATTTACAGGATGTTTCAAAAGTTGAGGTTGTGAAGGTTGTGAGGTGTTTCGATATGAGAATTGTTAAATATTGATTTCTATGTATATGTGTGTGTGTGTGTGTGTGTGTAGTTGATATATAGAGATATTTGCATGTTATATTCGTAACTGAAACGAATAGAAATTGCAAATATTTTAAAAATTTCACGTTTATTGAGTGTACGTGAGAATCATGTGTAAATTTCGTTAAACTTTTGTTTCTAATGAAATTTTGTATTGTGACATTAAAAATATTTACAAAAATTGAGATGCGAATAAACATTGTAAACGAAATGGAATAATATTTGAAATATAATTTATTTCTTTTTTTTTTTTTAATCTAATTGATCGTCCATTCTTTTCGGAAAAATGATTCTGAAAAATAATTCTGGTAATTTTATTTTGCAGCTTTTGAAAGGATAATCACTATATTTTAAAAATTAATTTTCAAAGAAAAAGTTTTAAAATATCTGGAATAAATTATAGCTAAATATAGTACACATTATTGTTATAATTTTATAATAATAATTTTATTTAAAAAACATATATATTTAAATTATTATATTTAAAAAAAATTTTAAATTATAAAATTCTTGTTTTTGCAGTTGCCTCGTTTAAGGCTCCTAGTAGTCGTTTCTATGAATTTTTTATCTTCACTCAACATTCATGTTAGAAGATAGAATCCGTATTTAATTTTTTTGGAATATTTTGCATATGCACACGAATAATTAATATATGAAAAAAAAACTAATTAAATTTTTTTATTATTTTAGAATCGATGATGTTTTATGAAAGGATGTCGACCACAAAAAAAAAAAAACGAAAAGAGGAAATATTTAAATTAGCGTTAGAGAAAGAACGTCGGATCATTGATATTGAATTGGGAGAATTGATTGATCGAAACGTTGGTTTGATTGGTTTTTAATATCGAAAGGGAAATATTAATGAAAGGGAGGAAATATTTCGAGTTCATTTAACATAGCATCGAGAAATTATGTAATACGTAGTTTGAAAGAGAAATGGATCATTTATATTTTATATCATCAAACATTTCATAAAAAAAATTCTTCAATTTTTCCTCAAACTCTTATTTCACAATATTTGCATTGCTAATAATTATTGCTTGTTCCTTATATATTTATCCCTTTTTTCAACAAAAATAAATTAAAATTTATTGAAATTTTAACAGACAGAGTTATATAAACTCAATACTCTGGAAATTATCAAATTAATAACAATATAAAAAACTTTTCTAAGTAGATGTTAATATATTTATGTAACTTCGAAACAAACGCAAAAGTTAATAAACCTGAAAAGAAATTAGCCTCTTTTCATTATTGAAAATCTTAAAAACAGAATTGATAATAAATAAAACGAGTTGAAAGAAAAGAAACAAGACAGATTTTTGAATTAATTCAACATCAAATGTGATTCAATGAAATTAAAATGGGGGAAATCGTAAGGAGTAAAGAGTGTTATAAGGAACTGATAATAACACTGTGACAATTTATCATTTAAGAATAGACGTTCATCTGCTATAATAATAATGATAATAAAAAAAATGAGAATAATGCAAGGACGAGGAAAATATTTTCGCTGAGACAGCGAGTAAATTTGTCTTCTCGCGGAGTAATAAAAAATCGCGTGGCGTCCGATAAAAAGAGATGGCGTCTCATAAAAGTACAAAAGTATCAAGATTCTTACTTTTAACGACAATAACGTGCGCTGTAACAAAGTAACGACTATGGATTATCTGACTATCAGCTCTGAGCGCAATAACCTTCCATTTGTTTCTCTTTATGTGCCGTCATCAGTTAAACTATTGCCGATAAGTCTCCAAAATTTTGTATCTTCAATATATATCATATATATATATATATGAGATCTCTCTCATAATATATTAATCTATCTTGAAAGTGATACATAATTCTACTCGATATACTCTTTTACAATACAAAACAATTTTTTAATTTTATAAAATAAATTTAAAAGGATATTAAATAAAATGAAACTGGTTATGTAAAATAAAATCATTCGATTAAAAAGTACGTACAATATTTCATCATATACTCCCCCATAAAAAAAAAAAAGAAGAAGACAACAATTTGCCACGAGACTTGATTTTTAAAATACATATTTTTAAAATATTTTATTAATTTATATAATTACAAATTAAGATCGTTCGAATTCTCGTTCAATTTCATTATATGTGGTTTCATTTGATCCTCTCCCCCTCTCCCCTTCCTATTTTTTTTACTTTTCTTTTTGTCGTGGTTAAACAATGTAAGAGAAGACAGAACAAAGAGGCGGGAAAAACGAGGAAATTTGTTTCGACAACGGCATTAGTGATGCAAATGAAGTTACGTCGTTGTCGGAATTTTTATGTGTTTTTCCACGCTGGCCAGAGCAAATTTTTTGGCTCGCTTTCAAACCGTGCCCGACGAAAACGGTGCACGACGAAATCATCGACCGTAGGGTAATCTTTTATTTTTTTTTTTTTTTT